CAGCAGAACCACAGAGAACATTGGTTACAAACCAGCAGAACCACAGATAACGTTGGTTACAAACCAGCAGAACCACACAGAACATTTGTTACAAACCAGCAGAACCACACATAACACAAATTAATGGTGTCCCCATTTTTTTTTTTTATTCCTATACATATTTAGGTATCTTGGTCGACTCTCATCTCTCTTTTAAGCTCCATGTGGAAAACCTAGTAAAGAAACTCAAAGTTAAACTGGGTTTCTTTTTCAGAAACAGATCCTGTCTAACTCTGAATGTTAGGAAACACCTTGTATCTGTGACTTTCCTTCCCTCCATTGATTATGGTGACATTGTTTACATGAACGCTCCTACAAGCAAAGTGCAGATGTTGGTTGCTGTCTATCATGGTGCACTAAGAATCATAACTGGCTGTAACTACCGTACCCACCACTGCACCCAATATTCACTGGTTAACTGGTCATTAACTTCACACAGACTCTCCCACTGGCACATTTCCTTCTTTAAATCACTTCTTGGTCTGCTGCCTTCATACATCTCCTCCTACATGTCTCTGCGTCAGTGCAGCTACAGCGTGTGCTCTCAGGACATTATTACCTGCAGTGTTCCCTCAGTGAGGACTGAACTAGACAAAAGGGCCTTCTCGTACTCCGCTCCTGTTTCCTGGAATATCTTGTAAAAATATCTGAAGCTCTCGACCTTGACCTCTCTAAGTGGCTTGAAACATCTCTAGTGTTCTATGGGGCTAGGTTTCATGCCAACATGAGCGTTATGTCACAATAACACAGACTCCGTCACATATAATTCATACCTCTTTAAACATCCGTACGGCCACAAAATGTCTAAAGAGGAGAATGGGTCCTAAATTATCTCTTTTAGAGACCGTGCGGGCCACGAGAAGCTCTTTAGAGACCCGTCCGGGCCACCAGATGTAGTGTTCTATGGGGCTAGGTTAGCTTTTTAAAGCTTCACTACAATTATTTTTAAATAACGGGTTCTCTCTTTTTCGAGCTAATTACAGCCATGTGACAGAGGTAACTGTGCATAGATAGTTTAATCAGTGACATGAGACGTTAATTTTCTTTGACCCATCAAAATAAATTGGTCATTTATTGAACAGAATCAAAATTTAACATCAAAACATTGTACACTTGATTAGACTGATCTGGTTCTGATTAATAAAACTTGGCACGATTTACTTAATAAAAACAACAGATATTTCTGAAGGCATCAGATTAATTACTGGCAAGATAGAAGAGTTTTAAAGATGGGAAATATGGAGGAGTTTAAAGGGAGATGTTGAAGGAAGATGTATGTCTGCAGACCAGAATAACACGCTCTTTCCAAACGCAGTTAGCCCGCGGTACACTTCGCGTGAAGCTCGTGCCGACTCTTTACCTTGGCAGAGGATGGGTCCACTACGGTCAAGAGGTCCCTGGCACGCTACCTTTCAGTGTCTCCTCAGGGCGGCTGCGACTCGGCAGAAGTCGTGAGATACTCCGTTCTACAGAACAAACTTCCTCAGAAGTTGTAGGGCATTCGCCTGGTGATAGTCACAGCGAGGCACCGTGATCACAACAGAGATGGATGACTCCATCAGACTGGAAAACTGAGTCCGAAGTTCCACTCAGCAGTGGAAAAACTCCAGAACAGCTAGAGCTGAAGAACAGAACTTCACTCCAGGACTACTCCACAAGACCCCAGAAGACCCAGAAGACCAATAGTTCCAGGAAGTGTCGACTTTTAAAGAGTTCTGCTTCCGGTCACTTTAGTAAGTCCTGATTGATTGAAGTAACCAACAGGGGTGTGGTTCTAGTGATGTCAAAGGGTTTTTACAAGTCAAGAAAACAGCAAGAATGTTTTAGGAACAGACAGAGAAATGTTTTGGCAAAGTGAGAAAAACAACTTGTTTTTGACTGTCTCCGACTTTTGACCGACATCACTCTTTCTCATTTCAGACAGAAGATCAAAAATGCATAATTACTTTGTAAAATAGACATTTAACTTGATTTCTAATTTAAATGAGGATTAAAAAATCATCAATACTGTTTCACAGTTGATTCAAAATGAGTGGTTCTCTTCAACATTTAAAAATGGTATGAACTAAACACACTTTTGATTATCAAGATATTGTAAAATAGTAATGATAATATAAAAATAGAGTGTTCTTTCCATTGATTACTTCAGGATACAGACAGTCTCTGGATGAGCTAATTTGTATTTCTGGATTCAAATCAATGAAATAACAGTTCCTGTCCCATGAAGGTCTTCAGAGGCAGGTTTTGGTCGGAGGCCTAGTCCACTACACATCTGTTAAGTTCCTGCAGACATGTTCCTGTTTTTAGTTTTCTACATTACCCTATAATCTGACTCCTGACTCATCTGTTGCCTCTGTAGCTTCAGTTGTGTTTGAACACTTTCAACCAGTTTCTCTTGCCACTCTCACTGATGTTGTTCAACACATGAAGCTTACGAATTGCTCTCTGGACATTCTTCCCTCCAAGTTCTTGAAAGAGGTTTTTAATTAACATTTTTAAAATCCTACCTTACCGTGGTGGAGGGGTTTGAGTGTCCCAATGATCCTAGGAACTCTGCTGTCAGGGGCTTCACGCCCCTAGTAGGGTCACCCAAGGCAGACAGGTCCTAGGTGAGGGACCAGACAAAGTGCAGCCCAAATACCCCTATGATGAGAAAAATAAATGGACTCCATGTTCCCTCGCCCAGACGTAGGTCACTGGGGCCCCACTCTGGAGCCAGGCCTGGAGGTGGGCATGCTGGTGTGCGCCTGGTGGCCGGGCTTATACCCATGGAGCTCAGCCGGGCACAGCCCGAAGAGGAGACATGAGTCCCCCTTCCCATGGGCTCACCACCTGTGGGAGGGGCCAAAGAGGTTGGGTACAATGTGGGATGGGTGGTGGCCAAGGGCGGGGACCCTGGCGTTCTGATCCTCGGCTACAGAAGCTGGCTATTGGGACATGTAATGTCACCTCACTGGTGGAGAAGGAGCCTGAGCTGGTGTGTGAGGTTGAGAGGTTCCGGCTAGAAATAGTCAGACTCACCTCTACGCATGGCTCTGGCTCTGGATCCAGTTTCCTTGAGAGGGGTTGGACATGCTTCCACTCTGGAGTTGCCCCTGGTGAGAGGCACCGAGCAGGAGTGGGCATACTTATTGCCCCCTATCTTGGTGCCTGTGTGTTGGGGTTCACTCTGGTGAATGAGAGGACACCCTCCCTCCGCCTACATGTGGGGGGACGGGTTCTGACTGTCGTTTGTGCTTATGCACCAAATGGCAGTTCAGATTGTCCTCCCTTTTTGGAGTCCTTGGAGGGGGTATTGGAGAGTGCACCTCCTGAGAACTCCCTTGTTCTCCTGGGGGACTTCAATGCTCACTTGGGCAATGACAGTGAGACCTAGAGGGGTGTGGTTGGGAGGAACGGCCCCCCGATCTGAACCCGAGTGGTGTTCAGTTGTTGGACTTCTGTGCTCGTCATGGATTATCCATAACAAACACCATGTTCAAGCATAAGGGTGCATAAGGGTGTCCATATGTGCTCTTGGCACCTGGACACCCTAGGCCGCAGTTCGATGATCAACTTTGTTGTTGTCTCATCTGATCTGCGGCCATACATCTTGAACACTTGGGTGAAGAGAGGGGTGGAGCTGTCCACTGATCACTACCTGGTGGTGAGTTGTCTCCGATGGTGGGGGGATGCCGGTCAGACCT